CAGCACTCTATTCTCTCCGTGCGGTGTAGCACCCTCTGAGGCTTTCCCTCCCCAGGGGCTCAGCGAGGCTCGCACCCTGGCCTTGGAGTTTTGACCCAGGTGGGGCACCTGGGTGATTTAGTGGCTGATCAAGTGGATTCAGATTGTTTATTGGAAATGCTCGTTATTTATGATAGCTCATGGCCCTGAAAGCACAGGCACAGGCTGCTTTTAGGAATAAAACTAATAAATAATAGCCTGGCCATGATTTATCAGCATGGAGGAAGGGAGCTGCTCAGTTCCAGTTGCGGCAAAGAGGTCTGAAAGCAGCAGATTCCCTCTTCAGAGGATGTGGAGGAAATTCCTGTAGGGATGGGGAGATCTGAGTACAGACAGTTCAAAGGGGATTATAAAAGGAAATTAAAGACACGTGCCACCCTATACCTCATCCTAATCCCTTTCTGGACAGATCTGCAAGATAAGTTTTTCCAATTTTCAGACCCTAAGACCTGATTATTTATTTTTAGATGACATAGGTTTTAATTTTCTCACTCCCCAAAAAATATTTTAAGAGAGATGAGTTGCGGTTACATTACTTTTGAATTGAATGCCTCAGGCACACTGAACAGACATTCAAATTCCTATGAGAATAAGGCAAACAAATATACTCGTAAAAGGTTTTTCCTTTCTGTCTTTTTTCTCCTCCTTCCTACCCTTTCTTTTTTCCCTCCATCCCTTTCTTCCTTTTCCTTCACTTCCCTGTTTCTCCTCTTCTTCCTTCACCTACCCATGATCATTTCTGTCTCTCTCTCTTCCAGTCTCTCTCATTGGTGATGCAGATGCCAGTGCTTGTGGGAGCCCTGTGCCTTGTGGTGAAATAGCACTCAGAGCTTTAGCACATCTCCCAAGGAAACGGGGTCAGGATTCTTTTATAAATCTTCACTGAGGAAGCAAATCAAGTTGTTGTTGTACTACAAACTATTCAGCAAAAGTTAACGAAATTTCCCCTGAGTGTCTCTGCCCATTTCTTCTGTGCTGTCCCTCTGTGCCCTTCTGTTCCACCTCACAGTCGCTAGTATCTTCCGAGGCCTGCACTGAACTCCAGCACCCCTTTCTCACCACACACAGGCTGTTTCTCTCTTTCTGCTGCTTGTCTCATGTATCTTTACGTCTGTCATTTTATTCATCAAAGACAGGCAACACTGTAGGAAGGTGACAGATATTTTCTCACTCTTCCAAGTAATATTTCCTGTCGTTAATTCATTCATTCATTCAATAAAGGTACCTGGTAAGTGCTTCTGGCAACAGCTGTGGTCCACCCAGGTGGGTCTCTTTGATCTCACTCAGGGTAAAATTAAAGCTGTGTGTGGCAGGAGCAGGGCAGGAGTGTGAGGAGGTGACAGGATTGAGAGCCACAGGAAGGTTTATGATTATGGATCTTAAACTGACAGTGGCCGTGGAGATCACTGGCTCATGTTTTAACCCATGCTTTGGAACTGTTTCTTTCAGCCAAAGGCTTCAAAAGTCAACCTGAAAAAGGAATGTAGAATCTTTGGTTCTGTGAAGACCTGATGTGTGTAAATCGAACAGGGAGAATGGGTCTCTTAGTTGGGATAGGGTAGTAGCAGAGAGAAGGAAGGTCTTACACATTAGAGGTCTAGCAGTGTTGTTAGCACACATGAACCAAAGAAGGGCTATTAGAAATGGCTGCGTTAACTGTAGATAGTAAAAGTCATTATTCAAATTTGGTGAAATAGTGTGATATTGCTCAGATCTTTTCTCTGTGGGACTGTGTCCTTCCTCACATGTTAGGAAGGAGAAAAATCACAATGCTGCCAGTTGAGGGGTAGGACGGTAGACCTTTCCAATTTACTGTAGCCCCTATGGGATTGCAGTGGTGTCCCTAGAATACAGAACAGGCAGTGCTATTGCAAAAGTAGCACTCTGGGACACCATGCTTTCCCATTCTTAGAGCCCCTCCCAACTCATAGGACTGGTCTCTGTTCTGCAGTCTCCTTTATGGTCTTGTGGTTATGTTTGGACCACCATTGTGCCGACCAAGTTCTTGGTAGAGACCCTACACTTGCTTTGTCACTGTCCTCTGCTAATACTATGCTTTACTATTGCACATACAGCTCAGAAGGTTCCTCCATGGTTTATTATTGAAACTCTTTCTTAGGCCTCCAGAAGATAGTTTGTGTCTGTTTTGGATGATGTGCTATTTAGAGGATTTTAGAATAAATTGCCAGTGGTTTCTGCTAAAGGCAATGAATGTCACATTCACACACTTTATCTCTCAGAGTTTTTCTCATGTACCATGCATAGACTCCACAGTGCACAGGCTTGGGCTTCAGGCCCCTGCTGACCTCAGTGACCCCTTGTCTTGCTCAGAAACACTACCCCTACTATCTAGGGGCCTTTCCCTTTGTTCAGTAATGTGCAACTAGTGTTTCAGGGTTTGTCTCCCAAGGTTCCACCTGCATTAATGCACTGGTGCACTGGAGCATATCTAGCAGCCAAAGCACAGGTTGTAGAAACGCTATAAACTGTTAAGAGTGATTCCTTGCTCCTGCTGCAGTTTGCCCAGATGTTTGGAGGGCAGCCCTGTGTTGGTGATTCACATACCAAGAATTCCACTTTGTTCTGGTGTAGCTCTGGTCCAGTGGCTGGAATCTTCCTAGGAGGTGAGGGAAGAAAGACAGGGAGAGTAGACGACTTTATGGACAGTCGTTGAGAGCAAGCTTGGGAGTGGCCACCTTCACTTCCATGCATAGCTTCTGGGCCACAGTTCATGTAGAAAGCCCTCAGTGTGTATCCAGGAGAGGGGAGGAGTTTGCTATGCATCTGGGCAACATCTGCCTCGCAGACTCACCCAAGAGGCTTGGATTGATTCCAACAGTGATCTTAAACCAGTGAGGGACTTGCACTTGTTTACGCATCAGTGGAATCTTCTGCAGTGTGCTTCACTTGGTTCTGTACAAGGTTGCTAGTGGAACTGAGCCCCTATTGCCTCAAGTATAGTATTAAGCTGTTTGTGACCATATATGTTTCCTCCCTCACTTCTCTATCTCATTATTCATTTCTTCTCCAAGTGTATTAGTCATTTTCCTGTCAGTGGGTCAAAATACCTGACACCTACAGATTGAAGGAGGAGAGGTTTATTTTAGCTCACAGTTTCGGAGGTTTTAGTTCATGGTTATCTGACTCAGAAGCAGAAACAGCATAGTAGAGGGGCGTGGCAGGAGAAAGCTATTCAACCCATGGCAGCCAACAAGGAAGGACAGATAGATAGATAGATAGATAGATAAGAGATAGAGAGAGAGAGAAAGAGACACACACACACAGAGAAAGAGACAGAGAGACAGAGACAGACAGATAGACAGAGAGACTCCTCAGATACATGCCCTCCGGAAAGCACCTCTTCCAACCAGGGCCTAACAGCACTTCAGCCATAAACTCATCACTAGATTAATTCATTAATAAATATTACACCCTCATTATCTACTCACATTTTAAAAGCTGCACTTCCAAACATATGAGATGGTGTGGGGACATTTTAGATGTGAACCATAACATCAGTTTTGCAAAGAAAACTTCCCATATAAATTATCTACTCCTAAATTTTTGACTTACAGGAATCCAAACAATGTACATAGGCCATCAGCAATAGCTGTATTATGTTAATTTTCAAAGGATATGGTGTAAATAATTAATACAGAGAGTTCTCTTATATAGTACAGATACTATAAAAGGAAACAGGAGAATATTACTACCAGCTAATGGCATCTAAGAAAACTTCCAGAAGAAGATTATGATAACATTTAGTTTGGATGTTAAAAGTGTAAAAGATTTGTCCCTGATACCATGAGTCAGGGGAGAGCATTCTAGGGGACAGAACAAGATCTTATATTTATTTCTTTAAGGATTTCTATGTAACCTGTGTGTGTATCAGGTAGGCAGGAAAGTCCAGGTGGGCCTATACTCTACTACCAACTAGACACAACACTCCCTGGGGTGGGTGGCCCTGAACTGTGGCCCTGTATGCAGCATGCATTCCGGTTATAATAATCAGTACACAAGGTATAACATAATATTTTTCCTCTGCCCCTGAAAGTGGCCTTTTAGAATATCTTCAAGTTTGTGCTCTGTACTCAATTTGTATGTTGAAGTCCTAATCTCCAAGGTCATAGTATTAAGCATTGACATTTGAAAAGTGACCTCAGGTCATGAGGGCAGAGACTTCATGGAGGAAGAGAGAAACTTTATGTAAAAAGGCCACAAAGAAATGCTTAGCTCTTCCACCACATGAGCAATGAAGTGCTATGAACCAGAGAGTGGCCTTTGCTGGACACTGAATCTGCCTTAGTCTTGACTACCAGGCTTCCAGAACTGTAAGAAATAGATTTATGCTTCCCATAAACTACTTACTTTATGGAATTTTGCTATCTGAGTCCAAATGGTTTAAGAATTCCCTATAGCTTCTTATCTTTAAACACCATTTATCACGGTCCATGGGGCCTGTGTAACATATCCCACACCCATGTCCACTGTAGCTTCCCAGATGATGTGAGTCCTCTGAAGACACTTCTAAGAGTTCTGCCTAGTACTTCTTAAGGTCAGCTGACCTCACTTTGAGACTGTGGCACACTGGGGCTGTGACCTGAGAACTAGAGACATATGGTTCAGCTTGTGTTTGTCTCACTTACCTGATGAGCTTTTGTCATTGGAGTGAGATGTCTCATCTTATCCCAAAGACAGACAGGTGAGTATTTTCCTATTAGGAATGGTGGAGAAAAAAACCAGAAACAACTCTGGTTCTGTGTTTGAGAAGTCTTTTTAGTCAAAGATTGTTGCACCAGTAAAATCTTATGGAAATGGAAAGTGCACAGATAAAATCTGATGAAGAAAGCTTGATGAAGGAAGGGTGGTTCTCTCTGAAGGAGTAGCTTGAGAAGTGATGGCTTATGTTAAGGTCAGGACTCTGAATTACCGTTGTCTCCAACTTTGCTCTTGTTTTGCAGAGGTTCCAAAAACAGAACAGACTTTTGAAGAGCGCTTGATACTCAAAGCTTTCTTGCTAAAGTTTGTCAATGCCTACTCTCCCATCTTCTACGTGGCCTTTTTCAAGGGGAGGTGAGTGTAACAATGGCACAGATAGAAAACTAATTTGTCACTAAGATGGTCCTCTACCACTGGGACCAACAGGGCAGCCCATCCCTTCTGTCAACTCATTTCCTCAGTCCTGTTCTCCACTTACTGTCTGGGATGAAATGCCATCTACTTGGCTGTTCTCTTCAGATTCTAATAATTAGGGCAATTTTGAGAATGAAACAAAGGAAATTTCCTTGCTAGCCAATGGTTTTTAGGGTTTTCGATGTGATTCTTGTGCTAACTACCAGGAGTTACCACAGGCTTCACAGGGTAAGAACACTGTGCTTCTCAAGACTGTCCCTAGTTCAGACAGCCACAAGCTCTGATGTTCCCAGGACAATTGCAGTTCTTATCCACTGATGCAAATTCAGGGTTCCCACTATCCCCTCAGGTTCAGTAATATACTAGGTTGACTCAAAAACTCCAACTGTAAGTGTAAATGTCATACTTACAGTTACAGTTTTATTTTGGTAAAGAGATAGAAATCAATCAAAGAAATAAGATACATAGGTGCGACCTAGGAGAGTCTTAGTCATGAAGCTTGCTTGTCCTCAGGATTCATCATCCTCTTGGCACATCTGTGTGTATCAGGAACCAGGAAGCTCACCTGAGCTTTAATGTCCAGGGTTGCTGGATTTCATTACCCAGACATAACTGACTGAATCATTTACCATGTGAGTTACCTCAGTCTGTAGCATCCACCTCCCCTTCCCAGGCCAGACTGCTGTCATTTGGCCCAAAGCCTCAACCTGCATGATGGGTCTGTCTGGCATTCCTTGCCTTCATTCTGAGTAATCTCATTAACATAAATTTAGGTATAGTCCTAGGGGTTCACTATGAATAACAAAGACACTGCTATCACTCTGGAAACTACAAGGATTTAGGGGCCCTTCTGAGGACCAAGGACAAGAGCAAGTATCATTTTTATTATGTTGGAAGTATGAATATGAAATCACACCTGATAAGTAATTGGTGATCAGGCCAGTTGGAAACCTACAATGGTATTTTCTATCAAACGTCAATGAGTTGTGTCAAGCAAGCTTCCCTAGAGCTAAAAGATCATCAAACATGCAAACCAAACACTGTCAGTATATAGATTTCATAATTTCTTATACATGTGTTTGTGACCCAAAACATAGCCCTCTTCCCAGGACATCCCATGACTGTCCTTGGCTATCATGAAATTTAAGTAGCAGAAAAGCTATCCATATTAAGGAATATGTACTTCATTGAAACTTTCCGTATCAATTTAATAGCAATGACAAATTGCACACATAATATTTCAGAGCAACAAGTGTAGGCTCTTAGATAAACCTGTGTTATGTTGAAGGAGCTAAGCATGGCAATAGCAGCACTGAAATCCATGCTATGTGCCATAATATGCAGGACAGAGAAAGTGTTGGGGTACTGGGGGTAGCACCCAGTGGCACAGCGCTTGCTTGGCTTGCATGTGTGAGGCTCTTGCTCACACCTCAGCACCACAGTTAAACAATCATTTGTAGTGCAGGGAGAAGGCTTAGTTAGAAACAGAAGCAACAAGACCTCAGAGAAGGAAAGATCTAGACACATCCTGAAATGAATGAGGATTTCAACAGATGGTGGGGTGATGACAATTCAGGGAAGTAGAGCTCTTCTATTTACCGGTCTGAATCCATGACTCTTACCTCTCTAATTTCCCCGCTGCCCAATCTTCTTAACCCCAATAAAATCAACTTTATTTAAAAGGGGCATGGGGCAGGCTTCATCCTTTCCTTTGACTATTTTCAATAAAAGGTTAGAATTCTTTTACGACTACAAGGATCTCTACTTACAATTTTAGTCAACCTCATGCTTAATTTCCTGGAAAACCATAGCTCTCACCAAGGAGTTGTCATGAAAATTCAGTTCTTGACAGTAGCAGAAGGAAGAAAGTGCCCAGCCAGTCCTCCTATAGAGATACAAACCACACTCCAATCCTCCCCCTGCAACCATACTCCTCCCAACCCCACAGTACCATCAGCCTCAGCCCTGCCCAGCTCTGCTCCTGTCCCCAGGGACTGGGTTATAAGTATAGCCTATCTGGTAACAGGATCTGAACACGGGGCTCTGAGTGACCAGTACTCTTTGGGAGGACACTGGGAGAGGGCACTGTACACAGAAGGCACGTCCTCTGTCAACCCTGATAGACTTCATTTTCCTCTAATTCTCCACACATTTTTTGATTCCAGGTTTGTGGGCAGGCCTGGAAGCTATGTCTATGTGTTTGATGGCTACCGCATGGAAGAGGCAAGTATAGCTGGGGGGGGGGTGTCTCATGCCTGGTGAGCATTGCATAGATGCAGTTTTACACACTTGGTGTCACACCTGTCCTTGTCCCATCACGGCATTATTCATGTCTGCTCCCATGAGCATCACAGTCTGACTGGCACTTTCTTTATCTCTCTCTCTTGCAGTGTGCTCCAGGGGGCTGCCTCATGGAGCTCTGCATTCAGCTCAGCATCATCATGTTGGGAAAGCAGTTGATCCAGAACAACATCTTTGAGATTGGAGTCCCGTACGTAATCAGTCTTCTCACCTCTTTTAGCTGCCTGGGGCTAACCCAGGAGTGCCAGGGGTTTCAACGAGTTTTTCAAGGCTTCTCTTCTTTTCATATAACTTGGTTACTTGTTCTTCTGTCTACTGGGCAATAACTTTCCCCATGAGGCAGTTCCCCTCCCATTGACCTTGTCTGCCAATCTGATCTGGGATGTTTGTGGTTCAGAAGAATTTACCTCTTGCTTAAATACATATGACTAGTAAGTGGCAGAGGTAGAATTTAAATATCTCAGACACCAAAGTACATAATATTTTTCATGCTATTTTTCCTCCTAGGAAGTAAATGGAGAATATTCAATACAGTGGAAAAATGAATATGAAAATTAGAAATATAATGGCATCATTTAGGAAAAGGTCTGAAAAGACAGAATGGAATACATCATGTTAGGAGGGAAAGGCTGACTGGGTTGTTTTCATGTGGATTCTCTCTCCTTCTCCTATGGTTTTATGCACATTTTACAGAAGGACTTCTTTCAATCAGGTTTTGCATTGAGAAAGTCAGGAAAATAAACACCGATCACAGATCCTAAAGGAAAAGATGATGAAATAAGTTAAAATCTACCTACAGATCCAAGAAAAATGTAACCTCCTATGCTTTTCCTTTTTAATATTTCCATGAAGAATGAGAGAGACAGTCAGGGCCAGTTCTCTTGCAAACCACTCACAAAACTGACCGTTCTGGGGTGCAGCTGTCAGTCAGTCCCCCTAGGGTTAATTGAGGATTCTGGGACACAGTCTATCTCCTCACTAGAGATTTATTATGCATACCATACTAGTGGTTCTGAGAAGGCGCCCGGTAAGGAAATTTGATTAATCCCTGTCTTTCCAACTACATTTTCTCATGTAATTACTCAGGGTTTTTTTTTTTCCCCTGAAGTCATTGGAATTCACTCTGGCTAATTTAAGTAGCAAAAGACGGCTACTGGAATATTCTTTAGGAGTCAGAGAACCAGGTTCAGAACCACAAGGCCTAAAATAGCACAGTCCACACTGGAAGGACCTTGCAGGAAAGGTCATTGTCTTTTCCTCTTGGCCTATGTGACTCAGACATGGACAAGAATCACATGAAATGGCCCTTGTCTTCCCAGACTCTGAATTTTTAGTTCGGGAGACAAAAGAGTGGGTACATACCTGAGCACTCCCTATGTAACACAAATTCCATTCAAAGTCAGAGGAAGTCAAGGTCAAGATTTGGAGGCAGTGCACAAAGCCTTCAGAAGCAGAGGGGCTTCTTCCAGGGTGTCTCGAAAGCAAGCCGCCACCATCCTCTGTTACAAGATGGTCTGCCATTGTTTTCTTTAGAGAAACCATTTCCTTGGATATGGGATACCTTTTCTAAACACACAGCAGGCTGACTCCAGTCTCATCACGAAAACCTCATGACTGAGGAATGCTACAACAGAGAAGGAGAGCCTCATAGAGATGGAATTTTTCTGCCAAGTCTTGAAACATGGCAGGGACATGACAAAAGAAAGAACCAGAATTTTGTTGAAGATCACTGAGTCCTAGATTCCTTGGGCAGAAAGGAGCCATGAAGAGGTTTATGGCCCAACCTCTTCTGTCAGAGCCACCTGCTTTGGGGTGGGTCTCACTCTCAGATAGAACCCTGAGGAAGCTATTCTTTGGTCTTCTTCAGAAAAACATTTACAGAAATAAAATTCTAATCAAGAAACTTTACTTTACCAGTGAAGAAAACTCTTTTATGTGAGAGCTCTACCTGAATAAATGAGAGTCTTCAAAATTTTCTCATAACCCTGTGTCATCCCAACCCTCTGGGAGGGATCTCACCATCATATTCCATTAATTAGGTTGAACCCTTATGGTGCTTACTGAGCACTGCTCCAGGTAACACTGAGGTGGACTGGTGTGAATATCATTCCATTTCCCTGCTTACTCAGTCTTTAGTTATCAACCAGAAGCTCCAGCTTTTGAAACTTTTCCTTGTTCCCTGCTTTTTGACTAAAGTCATTGAGTGATAGTCAAGCAAAGCTAGTGAAACAGATGATTCTTGTTCTCTGGGAACTTAGCATCTTGGAGAGACAGTATTTCTTATGGACTAATAGCCAAAAAATACACAGATGGTACCAAAATCACATCTGGCCCCTTTGAAGCTATGCAGAAAACCCCTCCACCACTGTTGCAAAAGTCTTCATTCCCCTTCCAACAGCTGACGTTGTCACCTTCCCTCTCATTGCATTGCTATTCTCTGCTGGATAGAATTTTAGATAGTTTATGGGCACAAGATACTCCTTTTTGCAACCCTAGACATCTGCTTTACCATTTTGCCCATTTTCTTTGGATCTAGAAGACTTTTGTAGAGTGAAAGAGAAGCAAAACCTCGGACATATTTGGACAGTGTGTTGGCATGTTCTCCATCCATATACTCCATCCACTCCATGGCAGAAGAAAATAACACACAGTGGTTTGCCTGAAAGGCCACATTTTCTTGTTTATGCTTGATATGTCTTTAAAAGTGTGCCACACTTTAATCCATGGCAGTCGCACAGTACTTCACAAAGTCTACTATCCATATCTTTGATAAACAGAGTGGCAACATAAGCATCTTTAAGGTGCTTTATAGATCTAGCACCCAACGAATCTCTCCTTTGCTAAGTGAGGGTGGTCTCTGCTGACTCCTAGTACAAGTCCCAGTTTCCCAATGCTTCCTCATTTCAGATCAACACAAGCGTCGTAAGGACAGTGGAGCAAAGACTAGACAACTGAGTCCAAGTTCTTTGTAAACCTGCATGTTACATTTTGAGCTTGGTCACGGGAAATCATTGTGATTATGATTATTACATCTTTTGCTATGGACTCAGAGTACATTCTTAATTAGACTCCTCCAATCCAGAATTGAAATACCTGCTCATATCTTTTTGGCAGAGTTAAAAGCCACAAAGTAATCATTTTAAAAGAGTCTTTGTGAGACAAAGCAAAAAAGTAAAAATCTAAGTGCGAATGAGGAAGAAGTCATGCATATCATAAAAACTATACCTAGTGGTCATTAAGAGAAATCTGTAGTACAGAGGTTTAGTGACCAAACAGACGAGAGTTGAAACCCAGCCTGTGCAATATATTCACTGTGTGACATCAGAAATCTATTCTTGGAAGATTTGCCTTTAACACGATTATGTAAAGAAAATGGCTGGGGAAAATGCTCAGCTATGCAAAAAATATAGAAAATAAGAACTATTCACAGATATTCCAAGTAGCCAACAATTTGCTGTACATTGGGAGCATTTACATTTATAGTTGTTTCATGAATGTTTCAAGTTCAGAGAGTGAGACTGTGAAGACCCAACTGAGGAACACTGTTTTAGCTTTTGTTCTGGACCCAGTGGCTTTTGATTCATAATATTCCACTCTAGGGTCTTTTCAGAGTAGAAGGGAGATAAATATTAATCTGGTGGGTTAGATTTGACTTTTTAAAATTTATACTTTTAAAAATAGAAGCAGGCTGGGTGGTAATCCAGGTACTAGAGAAGGCGAGACAAGAAGATGGTAAATTTGAGGCCACCCTGGAATATTTATTCAGCCCCTGTATCAAAATAGAAAATCAAAGAGCTAAGGATGTGGCTCAGTGATAGAGTGCCCCTTGGTTCAATCCATAGTACGAGAAAAATAAACAAACAAAACAGCAAACAAATACCCCTCAAAAAAGAATTGAAGCAAAGCAAGCCTGAGAAATTAAACAGATGATTGTGCTCATTAAGAATATCTGGGATCACAAAAATATGATAAAGATATAGTTATAAGATCAGTCATTTTAGTTCAACATCTCCTTCTGAAGTCAATTTTCTAAGATTCTTAAAGATAAATTTAAGTCTATTTAATTGACCTTTATAAACTGTCCAGGAAGTCACCTACAATTATTACCTCTCTCTTTGAGATTGCAACATTCCCATCAGGCTCTGTTTGGGTATATGTGAGTGTTTGTGTTGCCAAAATAACAATTTTACGGCCTTAGGAATTGTACAGTTAGGGCCAGGGGTTTAGCTCAGTGGCACAAGTGCCTGCCTGGCAAGTGCAATGTCATGAGTTTGATCTTTGGTACCAAAAATAAAAAAAAATAAAAAATAAAAGAATACTGTTTCCCAATCTTTAGTCATTTGTAAATCAACTTGAAAAGTTTCCCCCATATCTACATACACAGCTTTTTGTGTTTTAGATTTTTCTAAAGCAACATATCTTTCATTTTAATCTATAACATTTTGAAGATGAAAAATCAACACTATCCACTACTATGAACAGCAAATAAAGGTGTAACAGTAGGAAAAAAGAAAATAATAAAACTAAAATGTGACTAAACAACCAATGGCATTGTTTCCTACCAAGCCTCTTAAGCTCAGCTATGCATTCTGTGTGTCTAAAGGATGCTGTCCCATCATTGGGGAGGTGTTAAACATATGCCAGTAGCAGTCTGGAGTCTCACCCTTGCCTCTCATCAGAGAGGCTGAATGCGAGCAGAAAAGGAAGTGCCTTCCCCCCAAGCACTCAAATGAGGTACAAGGTACAAATTTTCCAAAGGTGTCCCAGGAACTCTACCCTACATATGGCAGATCCCTCAGACTACCGTGTGTCCATGTCCACCAGGCAGCAGGACCCCATCTCTTCACTATGTCTGGTTCAGAGACACTGGAGATGCAAAAATGAGATGCTTCAAAGGGAAGCAGTAAAACTTTAAAGTCAGCTCTGTGACTAATATTATGATAATAGATAAAACTTGGTTGCACGGTCTGGTCTCAGACTCTCCTCACTCACGCAATGCCAGGCTCCTGGTGCCTAACACCGTCATGGCAGATGCTTTCCAGAGCGGAGCCGAACAGTTTTAATCATTAGTGGCCCAGGATAATGCTCACCGGCAGCTCTTTCTGAGATGACCTCCCCAAGGTGAGTGGTGTGACATTCTGGTTTTGTGCTGTTTATTACCTATAGCCAAAGATAGAAGTCTCCCTACCTCCTGAATCTCACTTTTTCCATGTGGATCTGTGCCAAATAGACTTTGAATCTAAACTGAATAATTCCCCAAAGCCATGAACCACATCTTTGCTGTAATTTTATCTCAAATTTAGCGTCTGTACCCAGTGAAGCAAAGCTAGAAATAAACCTCTTATCACCCAGAGAGCTGGAATTTTTGTGAATGGGTAAACATTATCTTTTTCATGTGCTCACTTCTTTCATGGCTAACCTTTGAGATGGACAGGGCAAGCAGATAGATCCATACTTCTGCTGGCAAAATGTCTCTCTGTCCCTATTCTTAGCAACTGTAGAGAGCTGTGCTAGATTCCTGGACACAGCTAGCTAGTATGATTTTGTAATTGTTTTCTAAATATGACGCATATAAAAATTTAAGAAATGAAACAGTCTGTCTTTAAAGATGTTACAAGAGGCCTATGTTCTCAAATACAGCAGAATCCGACTTTGAGGCAGTATTTAGAGGATATATTGGAAGCTCGCTGGGTGTTGGGAAAGGAGGAGGCCAGTGGCGAATGGCTTTCTGTCTTTTGGCCATAGAGATCCTGTGAGGCCGAGGGCCCACAAAACCAGGTCTGCATCCATGATCATGAGCCCAGATTTTTGTAATAAGAAGGCTCAAGGGGTTACAATCCTAGGGTCTGGGTGTAATCCCATGGGCACAGGCAGAAGAAAAGCTTGGAGTCTTCCAGGGAGTTTCTAAGATTTGTCATTAAAGAGGAACAGAAGAAACAGCAGTTGAAAAGGACAAGGGGTAACTTCAAAAGAGTCCTTTTAACAAGTGGGTGCCTCATACAGTCGGAATCAGAATCTGAAATTTTCCAAATGGCCCATCTGCATGCTATATGAGTCACGGGATTCCTCTTAAATCCTGCTCTGTAGAGACATTCCTGATTATTTGTTTCAGTGGTTACTGGGCTATCCAGGAGGGAAACGTCTGGGAATGACAGGCTCATAGACTTATTTGTGGACAGAGTTTCCCTTCGCCTTTTAGACCTGCCTATGCTTGAAAGGACTCTGAGGCCCGTTCCTTTTATTCCCTGGCTGCTTTGGCCACCTAGATGTACAGTTGGCCTCCACTTCTCCTTTCTGTGTGTGGACGGCTCCTGTCCCTCCCATGTCAGCTTTACCTGCTGATATTCCTCAGACCTCCCTGAGATCCTCTGTTCCACCCACAACCTGTGTTCATTGCCGTGGTGATTCTCAGGTCTCCATCTCCAACCTACTCCTGTCCTCTGTGCTCAGGGGACTGATCAATATCTGCCACTTGTTGTCTCCGGGGTCCCTCTACTTGATCCTATTGGAATCACTTGGGATCCACACTCCCTAGTTCCTTTTCTCTTCACAAACATTTCTTGTTCTTGTGGTATTAGGAAGTGCTATTCCCCTGGGCAACCTGAGGGCAGAGACATTTGGATCACTGTTTCGTAGACAGAGCTGTGTGCAGTCACTGTCCCCTGCCTGTGGACACCTGGTGTCCCCAGTTTCTGCACCTCTCTGAGCTTTTACAGATGGGTCAGCTTGATGTTCTTGCCGTCTTCCACTCTAGACACTTGCCATTCAGCTCTCACAGCTTTGCCAACCATCTTCCAAGAGAGTCATTCAGTCTCTTCCTTGCTACTGTGTCCATGACTATTTTCATTAATCTATACTCTTATATATTTTACTCATTCATTATTTTAGTGGCTTTTCTGAAGTGGATAAGGAGTATGCACTTTTGTTCAGTTGTCCATGTGTAATCAAACCTACTAACTATTCTTTACTAAACATTTGGCCAAATTTTCTGATCACTGGGACCTGGAAGGAAATTTGTAATTTGAGGCTGGTTCCGGGTCTCTCCTCCTTCCTTCCATCTATCCCTCCTTCTCCTCCTCCTCTCTCTCTCCCTCTCCTCACCCTCTTCTTCTCTTCTTCCCTCCTTCCCACTCTCTCTTTTTCTCTGTTGTGTTTTTCCTTTGCCCACTCCTATGCTGATTCACAGATAGGGTCTGAACCAGGCTACACTACGTGGCTTCAGAATCATTATGTTCCATCTAGTTTTCTTGGTTTCTTAATTATTTTAGATTTATAATTTCCTATTTTATTAGAAAAAAACTTTCCACTGCAGCTTCTAATAGATCTTAAGCCATTCTTTGCATTCTTCTGTGATGGGCATGCTGCTGTTGCCATGGTGAAGATGAAGCTAGGGACAATGACAGAAGGTACACTTACTGCACACATCAATCTAAGCATGTCATGTGGACTATCTTCCTTCACTGACCCCAGGGGAGTATTAGTGTTTACTATTTTTTTTCATTTTGAGGATAGAAAACTAAAGTTTACAGAGTTTGAGTAACATTTCCCAAGAAAATATAGTGGGTGAGTTGTGAATCTTACTTATACATAATTATTTTCTGGCATCTAAGAGTTTTTACTAATTTGGTGGCAAATGACATTAGATAAGACCCCGACTGGAGCATTATTTTGAACTATTAAATTCCCACTTACTGTCAGAAACACTTTGTAACAGCAGGATGAGGGGACTAATCAGACCAAGCATTATGTATAAGGGTTTGGATGAGAAAAGTTGGAGGCTAGGTAAGTGTGACTTCTATACTGGGGGAAGCTTGGACCTCAATACAATTCTTTTAGATTTCAAGCTTATGATTCTGACTGTTATGCTGTTACTTCTATCTCCTAGAAATCTCTTCTTTGATTAGCAGAACTGGTACCTAACTCCTTCCCCTGTTTTTATTATCTAGTATTGTGCATCAATAAGAAATGTGAAAAACTATATTCTCAGGCATGTTTCAGCATTTAATATTGAAAATAATAATACTTACCATCTATTAGTGTTTACAATGCCCAAATATTGTCTGGAGAACTGCATAAACATGATTTCATTCAGCTCTCTTGCCAACACTGAGAAGGTGGAGCTTTATTATCTTGTTACCAATCGAGACCAAAACAAACCTGAATATGGTTGTCTTTGAATGCTCAGGCTTCCATAATAAAATACCAGAGATCAGGTAATTTAATCAACAGACATATATTTTCTCATAGTGCTAGAGCCAAGACCAAGCAGTGTTGTGTTCCTAGAGAAGGCTCTTTCTGACTTACAGATGCTGCCTTCTGTCCGTACTCTGACACAAAGGAGAGAGAGACAGAGACAAAGAGATAGAATTCTCTTCCTCTTCTTGATACACCAATCCTGCTATATTAAGATTCTGCTCTTATCAACTCATTTAATGTTAGTCACCTCCTGGATGCTCCGTCTCCAAAACCACTCATATTGGATAGAGCTTCAACAGCTGAATTTTAGAGAGGACAAAAGTTCAGCCCATACTAGTGGTGGGAAATGTGTAGCTCGACTTTAAAGGGGAGATGCTGTTATTGAGACCCTAAAAATGCCTTTTCTGAGAAAAGCATCTTTCTTTTACTTTCTGGACCCTCCGTTCTGAATGAAGAGTGGAAGATCTCCTGCTAGTCAGCAGAAAAGGCTTTATATTTGACAGGAAGGGTCAACTCTTGTTGCAAGAGGAATTAAACATTTCTTTGGGTTTAAAGAAACCCAAAGAGCGGGGGTCTTTCATTATCTTTATAAAGAAGATTGTCTTTAGGAGAGAAGTTGTCTACTTAGTGTCTATCTAACATTAGGTAAGAGATGACTTGAACATTCCAATTTAGTTGTTTGCTCCTTTCTGTCTACAGAAATAACCCTGTTCTCAAGAGACTTTTGATAACTGTTCTATTTCTTTCCCAGGAAACTAAAGAAACTGTTTCGGAAGCTGAAAGATGAGACAGAACCCGGAGAAGCTGACCCCCAGCATTCAAAGCATCCAGAGCAGTGGGACCTGGACTATAGCCTAGAGCCATACACGGGGCTGACTCCAGAGTACATGGAAATGAGTAAGAACCCCTGGTCCTTCCTGCACTGGGGCGGGTTCAGATGAGTGGGCCCCACAAGGGGTGTGGGCCCCTTCAGGAGCCTGTAGTTGTGGGTGTGGCAGCCTCTGCTCCTTCCTGAGCAATGCAGCCACTCAGGTCTCCATAAATGCCATGTGAAAATTGAGAAGCAATCTGGAATGAGAGCCAGCAGCAGCTCTATCACCAATTTGACAGATGCTGCCAGGTTCACGTCCTCCTAGACCTTTTCTGCTCATCTATAAAGTGAAAAATTTGGTCTCTGGAGGCCATTCTTGTGGTTTCTATTATTGACAAAGATGAAAGGGAAACAGTGCTATTTGGAATTTCAGAATTCAGGTTCCATAAAGAAAGAGTAAAATAGACCCTTGTCAAAGAAACCTTTGATGAGTGATAAAGGAAGTTCTTTGAATCCGATCGGGTAAAGACAGGACAAGATGACAAACTTTCAACAAAAAGTTTAAGTTTTGCCCTGAGTACCCAGGTCAGTGCCCAGTGGCAGAGCTTCTGGTTGTTTTGCTTGGGCAGAGTGCCCATAAGGGAAAGTAAGCTTTACTGATGTGGCTTAGAAGCCAAGAGTTCTCCATTATCAGATGTGTTCCAGTTTACATCAGCTGCCTTTAGGCCCTGATCTCCTGTGATGGGTATTTGAAAAGCCTTGAGTCTTAGAACTAACAAATAAAAAGTATAAAATACCAAATAAATAACTCAGGGGGCTGGGGATTTAGCTCAGGGGCATAAGCACCTGCCTGGCAAGTGTGAGGTCGTGAGTTCGATCCCCAGTACCGAAAAAAAAAAAAATAAATAAATAAATAAGTAACTCATATATAGCATCCAAACATTACTCAATCAAGAAATTATGGAGAAAAATCAATATCAGCCAACAAAAGAATCAAATATTTCATTCAATACTGCATCTGCCACTGTATTCCTACAATTGGTCCTGATATCACCTCTGACTATATACTTTTAATATGAGGCTAAAAATGCTTCTCTGTGTCCTTTATTTCTAGAGAATATTTGTCCTGTTTGGTTTTAGGCATGTGTGTATGTATGTTAAGGGTTCAAGGATGGCAGGGTCTCGATTTGATGGCCATGAAAGATCTGTTAAAGTCCTGAGGCATCTAAAATCTGTGTCAAAATCTGAGCTGTTTTTGTAACCTAAATCACCCCACCAGAAAAGGAACAACCATGATGTGTGATTTATGGGCACCTGGCAAAAAAACATTAAGACCTGGTTTATGGAAACAGTTCCTGAGTTCCTCACACTTTTTATGTTTAGCTAAGTGCTTCCTTTCCCCCTCACCAGTGGTGGGCTAGACACTTACACAGAGGTGACTACTCGTCTTCCAGATTTCCCTCTACACTTCCTGTCCCCTCTTCCAGAAAGAAAGATGCCACTGCCAACAATTGAGGCTCCCACTGGGAAGGGCTTCCATTAGGCCAGGAGCTCTGTCTCTCTACCTCCAGCTCCCGGCCCCAGTCTCTTCTCGCCCTCATTATCTGTGCAATTTGCCATTCCTGCCTGCGTGTCTGCCCTATTAGCCAGCTATTTGGTAGCTTACTTTTTCTGAGTGATTGAGAGCCATAGTCCCTGGATTCAAATTCCACCTCCCTGATGGAGTAGCTGGATTACTTTAGGTAAGTGGTTAATCTTTACGTACCTCAATTTGTTTAGCAATAATAATGATAATGACAATAACAACAACAATAATATCTACCTCATGGATGGCTCCATTTATTGATTAATAGCTTTGAAGACCTTAAAAGCTATGTACAGTGTCACAGTTGTTTCTATTAAAGGGCTTGAGGACCTAGGAAAGTAGAGAAGAGGGAAATATACTCTATTTTGTCAGCTGCTGTGCGGTTAAATATAAAACTATTGTGTGTTAAAACCTGGGTACTTACAAAGAGAAGAGGGAAGAACGAAAAGAACTGGAAGACTTGATAACTTTGGAAGGAAATTCATACCAATGTTTCTAGAGAATAAATTTTCTACTACAAACTAAAAACACAAACACAAACAAACAAACAAAAAACCAAAACTACATGGGTATAGGTGAAAACAGCAATCATATGTGTAGCAAAAATTTTTGATTGTAAAAAAAAAAGGGGGGGGGCCAGGAGTTTAGCTCAGTGGCATAAGTGCCTGCTGACAAGTGTGAGGTTGTAGGTTTGATCCCCAATACCAAATAATAATAATAATAATCATAATAATAATAATAATAATGATGATGATGATGATGATAAATGCCTTTCAAAATGCCATATTTTAGATCTCTTTTGTTATGTATAAGATTTCAAAAATAAAGTTGTGATCATTTATATTAATTTATTTTTTCACTTACTATTATAATAAATGTTCCCAAGTTTTCACCTAATATTAAAACCTATACTGCATTGTAGTTCCTTTAGTAAATGATAGTGTAATATATTTTCAGTAGTATCTCAATTGACTAATTTAATTATTTCCATGATTCTCATTGCAGAGTTAGTTCCACAATTGCAAATTGAATCATGGAAAAAATTAAGTTTGTGAACTGGGGTACCACCGTACCTGTCTTCCAGTGAAGGGCATATAGGGTCATTTTCCAATTTTCCAGGTTTTAATCCTATAACACAACACACATTATCTTTGTGTAGTATTTAGTATTTCACATTAATATTTCATTAACATGGATTTGCACAAGTATGATTAATCTAACATGGGTTCATTACATGGTGCTTGATTTATTTTTCTAAATCACTTCAAACACAAAAAAACTAGACCAACTCACCTAGCCACAGGTAATGCGTGAAAATGCAGTTCCAGTGCATAACTTTAATTATTCCACATCCTGAAGTCTTGTAATTTGGAAGAATTATCAGTGTACATTAAGCTGGATATTCCCAGCCCCCTATTCACTTTTCTTTCCTCCTCAGTGATCTAGACCTTTCAGGCTCATCTATAGTGTAGCTATCCATGGTGCTTCCTCTGTGAAAATTTTCAAGTCAAGCCCCATTTCTTCCTGAGTGGGATCATGATTTTTATTTGCCTTTGTGTCCTAGCATCGTGTTTGGTGCACACACTGATTCATTGTATATTGGCCGCTTTTCTATTGATGGGACGAAATACCTAATAGACATAGCTTAAAGAAGAAGAAGTAGTTTTGGCTCACAATTTCAGGTTTCAGTCCTTGGTTGGCTGACACTCAGGCAGAAATATCTTGACAGATGACAACTACTCACATTATGGCAGACAGGAAGCAGTAAACAGGAAGAGAGCTAGAGAGGAAGGAGATAAGTTACATCCTTCAAAAACAGAGATTTGTTTCTATAATCCTTTGTTTGCTAAAATCACATTCACTTATGAATTTATCAGTGAGTTAGCCCATGAATGAGGTTAGCATCACATGATTTAATGACATTCCAAACTCTTCACCTATGAACACACCAACTTTGGGGGGACGCTTTTGATCTCATGCATAACAGATAGGATCATACTGAATTATGGTACTATTAGCCACATATCTCTTCTTCAAAGGCCTAGTCCATGAGGTTCAAAAGTGCAGTGAAAAGGTACCATGGATTATTCATCTCTGTACCCTTCAGAAACCAGCACGTTTCCTGGCACATGAAACGGGCAGTATGTCCAATAAACAAAGCTTACTGTATGAGAGAATGAAAGTTTCTTAGGGGAGAATATTTCCTAATGGAGATAAATTTGTAATAATTATTTTAAGAGTTAAATGGATTTTTTTTTTTTTTGTTCCTGGGATCTAACTCACGACCCCGTGCTTGCCAGGCAGGCACTTACACCGCTGAGCTAAATCCCTGGCCAAATGGATCATTTTCAAACCAAGGCTTGGTGCATAGTAGATCTGAGATATTCTGAAGTTTCCAGTATAGGTAGGAAGTTGACTTAATGACCCTATGGTCTTCTCTGGTGCAAAGAATCTATTTATTAGTGATAAGAGTAAAGAAGATCATTCCAAGGAAGAGGACTGGCAAGTGCAATGTCTCATGACTACAAGGCACTGTTGACCATGAAAAGCAAATTGTAGCTTTTGGATAGGGAAAGTTCAGATGCAGACATGAGAAAGATCAGTCAAATTTCCATTTCAAGCTAGTGATATAGGGGAATGAAACTCCCAACCTAGAAGATGTCTAGTACTAGTTTCTGTTCTCTAAAATTGAAGAATGAATTTTAGAAACAATGGAGATTAAGAGCAGAATATATTTTTTGAGAGAAAGAAAGCTTCTGTCTGAGAGACAAACAGAAAGTGTCCTGAGTGGGTTGCCAAATACTCTGTATTTTCTAGACTTTTATAGAGCAGAATCACAAAATGAGGCAGGTCTGAGGTAGGGAAAACATGGAGGTCACAAGATGAGCACGAGAGGGGACAGAACTATGGTCAAACAGTAAGGTTACAAGTGTAATTGTTCAAGCAAAATTGACTAAATGGGGATGAAATGGGGAAGTAAGTCACACTATAAGCCGGCATACTTAAAGAGCAATGATTCTTCCTGTAGAGGGTTGGGATGGTGACTCCTGGCTTCCTCGGGGTGATAAAGACCTATTTAAAATATCAATTCTGTTGCTTATGCTTAGGAAGTGAGGTCTGGCCCACAGTGGGAGGTGTCTGTTTCCCCTGCAGTTGGTCTTCTGCACTGTGTTCTTCTAGGGCCCTATCCCTGCCTATAGTATTTCTACCTAACTCAGTTTCCTGGAACACTAGGATGGAGTAATTGTAAACCCTGAATTCTCTGTTTCTCATGGGGAATTGAGTTGCTAGTGCAGAAAGTGTCCTATGACCAAGGAAGGAACGGCTAAGCATAGGCAGACTCATTCATTCATTCACTCACTCATCAAATATTTATTAGCACCTAGAAAAAAGAACAATTTTGGATTCCAGAACACTGGCATCACTTCAGGTTTGCACTGATACTGATTTAGTGAACAATTCAATTGATCTTGATATAGTCTTGTCTAGAAGAAAAATAAA